AATAGAATTAAATAGCTTTATAAAGCGACATTTTCATAGATTTTTTTCAAATAAAATTTGTACGATTTTATTTTTTATTAATTTAGCTGTATGAGTTGTAAAAATATGGTCCTTCTGTCACTCGAATTTTGCATTAGATAGAGATATTGTTTACATAAGAACAGTTTCGCGACCAATGTGAAAATCCAATTTTTGTGTAATTTCTGTGTATTTTTTGGTGTTTTTTTTTTTGCATTTGCCTCTGTAGCAGCGTGAAGAAGCTTTGTTTTTGCTATTATTTTAAAGGTTTTGTTTTTCTCTGTTCTTATCCTCTTATTGTGTCTATCGTAAAAAGGTTGTTGCAAAAGTAAACGAAAGTGTGTATTTAAAAAAAAGAACAAGTTTATAAACATTTCGTTACATAATTAAATTATTATCACAATACGGACATTGAACACTTGATGTAGAATCAAAATAAAATAAAGAACATATTAAAATTAGCTGAAAGTAGTTAAAATTGAAAACTTAAGCTTAAATCGAAAATTATATGTGTTTAAATTTATTTAAATTTAATATTTGAAAATATTTTTTTTTCAAAAATAATAAAATATATACGAAAGAAAATTTAAAATATTTACCTTAAATAAATAATAAAATATTGCATTCAATATTTACTAAATACTAGATACATAGTACATTAGCTCCTTTAAAACCATTCTCTTTTCTACTAATTTTAACTAAGACCTGTATTGAGGCATATCAAGTTGCTTGTTTTAAAAATATTTTAACTTTTTTGTTTGCAAGAATTAAAATTATTTTAACATTTCATGCGCGGTTTCAATTCGATTTTAAGAGTACAGTGTTTTGGGCTAATTGCAAATTGCTACAATATTAAGCACTGCTAAAATACGAATTCATTGAATTACGAGAGACTAAAAATTAAAGACCGCCAAGTAATGCTAAGAATAAAACATTAAACAAAAAAATCTATTTGCATTAAATCGATTTAAATTAAATTGAAATAAAGTTAAAACATAAAATAAATATACATACATATGTATGTATTTAAGTTTGCATATGTAAGTATTTAAATAAATTAAAAGTTGCACTTACTGCACTTGCTGCTGCTGTTGTTGCCTTACTACTCGTATTTTACATCTATGTATTTGTGTAAATGTATGCTAAACTCCTGAATTGTTTTTCCTTTTCATATTCTTTGTTGTTATTTTCCTGTTTGAATTTTTGTATGTATGTAATTGCGTCGTATGTATTACGAATACACACTTTCACTTTATTATTTTCATTTATGTACTTTTTTGCTTTTCCTTACTGTTTTCGTATTAAATTAATGAGGTACTCTTACAATTTGGCACAGTGAAAGATTTCTAGCTAACCACCACTATCTTTTTCTCTTCCACATTTTCATGCTGCACAATTTCTTTTATTATTTTTAGTTTTAAACTGTTTTTATTTTGTTTTGTTTGAGAAATATGGTTTGATGTCGCGTTTTATTTTTGATGGCTGAAAAAGCAGACTCTCAAGGTGCGCTGCAACTCGGTAACTAAGTTTACTCGACCTTGACTTTCTTGAAGTAAAATTTCAAAAATGTCGGAATGTTTCTTTGAAAATCAGCATTGTTCAAAACGGTTGCAGTGCTTTTAAAATTTATGGTAAAATTTTGCTGGGAAAAATATTTTTGACGTCGCAACACTGGTTTGAATGCAGTTACTGTGAGAAAGAGAGAGAGGGGTACACCAGTGATGCTTAAAACAGCGCCCGCGGGCCGAACTCTTTCTGTAGATTTTATATTGGCGTGAGCCAAGAATGATAGAATACAAGATTGCGCCAATCGAGCTGAGAGCAACTGGCCGTGACGTCAAAAAATACCAGAATGAGAGAGCAAGACGAACTCGACAAGAAAAAGAGGAAGCATCGACCAAAAGGCAGTGTTGCCAAGTTTTGACTTTGAAAAAGCACCAAATTTGTATTGATGTATTTTATGGACTTTATATGAATACATAATTTTATTGTAAGGATGCCGATTCAAAAATCAATGTTTCTTGCACAACGGTCGATTTCTTCTGGCATGATTGAAGGTGCTGCTACATATTTCTTTGTCACATATTTGATTGTCACTGTGCCATGATTTTGTTTAAATTTTTGTAAAATTGCTTACCACACTTACGATTGGTATAAATTTTGCTTAAATTTTTTTAAGATTTTCTAATTTGATGTCTTCAAACTAAAAAAAAGCACCAAAAACGCACCAAGCACAAAACTCAAAAATTTTCGCGTTTTGAATACCCACTAAATTTGGTTCGAAAAGCATCAAGTTGGCAACAGTGAATGTAAACAAAAGTATTTTATGACGTCAGCGATTGGGTGGATGCTGTCAAATCGACGAAGAGAGGGTTAGCGGTCCGCGAATGGCGCGACCTTTATTTTCTGGATCGTGGGCGTGAGCTTTTCTGCAGGCAAAGCTCTTTCAAGCTTTCTATACTAAATATATACAAAGCTTGAAAGAGCTTTGCCCGCGTGCAAGGCGGTGCCCACCACCGGTAATAAAGTAAAGGCCCTCTCTGATCGCCACTGGTAAATATGTTGTATCCAGTGTTGCCGCGGCCGGAAAATAAAGTTTACCAAAATCGTTAAAAAAATTTACCAAATCCAGTAAAAATTTAGCAACTTATTTAATTAATTTGGGCTTTTTCTACCAAGCTTGGTAAATTGTTTATAGAAATAAAAAAAATAAGCAAGTAAGTAAGTAAAGGCAATTTAAAGCCGAACTTAACTAGGCATTAAAATGTCAAAAAAAATTGGTACCATTTAAAAAATGCCATGTGGAAATGAATTCCATGACAAATTTTTTCACGTAACGACCAGAATATTTTTTAATGCCAAACTTTGTCATACAAATTTTTGCCATTTAATGCCTTGTGAAAATCCAATATAAGGCTTAGTTTTGTCGTCAGAAGTA